GTGAGGTGGTATCTCAATGTTGTTTTGATTTGCATTTCTTTTATGGCTAGGGATGTTGAGCATTTCTTCATGTGTCTATTGACCATCCTTCTTTCTTCTTTAGGGAAATTTTTTAATGGATGAGAAACATTAAAAAGTATTGTCTATCAAAGAATAATACTGGACTTCACTTTTTTAAGCAAGAAGCCATTGTTGTATCTTTATATTTCAGATCCTTTATAGATTCATTCCCCTTAGCATGCCATGAAGTTAGAAGTTAGAAGGTATTTCTCTGAACTAAAATTCTCCATATAAACTCTAAATGTGAAGAAAAACAAAGAGAACTGCTTGGGAATTTGCAAATATACCAAATTTGTTATGCCTATATGCCTTTCTTACAGATTTTTTTCTATATATTCTAAGCTTCCTTTCAAGAGCTGTCATATTTTATGTCTATCATATATGTTACTAATATATCAACTGTTGTAATGCTTACAGTCCCCAATGTAGTTTATGAAGTGATTCCAAATTCTTGAGTGGATCAATTCTCAAAAGAATGCAGGGCACCGGTGGCTCATGCCTGTAATCCCAGCTACTCAGGAGGCCGAGATCTGAGGATCACGGTTCAAAGCCAGCCCGAGCAGGAAAGTCTGTGAGACTCTTATCTCCAAAATCACCAGAAAACCAGGAGCAGTGTTATGGTTCAATTGGTAGAAGGTTTGCCTTGAGCTGAAGAGCTGAGGACAGTGCCCAGGCCCAGAGTTCAAGCCCCACGACCACCCAAAAAAGAATTCAGAAGATGAGTACTGTTATCCTATTTTTCAGATGGAAAAAAAATGAAGTATAGAGCTATACTTCTCAAAAAGGAGTCTGGCTTCCAAGTGAGTATTATAAACCACTGTATGTGAAGTGCACTACATGTGCACCAGTAATTACAAAATTAAAAAAAAAACTTCCACATTCAACAAATATTGACATCCTGGACCATTCCAACAAAGCCCTCTGAGTTGTACAATTCATTATTTATGAATTAGCCCTCATCTGGAAGGAACCTAACTCTCATATTTTCAGAGGCAGAAATTTGATATATTTTTGAGCAATAATACCAAAGACAAATACTTCTTTTGGGAGTGGACTCACAGTGACTTACAATATCTTCTCCCTCGAGGTGAATGTTTTAAGTTGAAGTGTCAGCTTATTATTATTTTGCAACAAGGAACAGGGTTATCCATTACATGGACTAGAATACTCAGGTCAGTGAGGCTGGCCTTCTCTGCCTCTCAGCCCTAAGGAGAATCCCGCTGTTTCTTGGCAGAGTCCTGGGTCAACATGCACCCTAAGAGAGATATTCCTCCCATAAACTGAGCATATGTTGCTGTTAGGTAGGTGACCAAGAGTCATTTATTATCAAGATAGTAACAAACTTGTCAATGGGACATGAAGGGCATAAAATTCATGGGACCTTTGTTTAGGACATTGCTGGGCTGGGCAATGACCATCATATAATTCTCCCTTTTACTATGATTCTAATGCCTTACTTTTCTCATTTTTTTTTCCCTCCTAGTCCTGGGCCTTGAACTCTGGACCCAAGTGCTGCCCCTAAGCTCCTTTTGCTCAAGGCTAGCACTCTACCACTTGAGATACAGCACCACTTCCAGCTTTTTCTGTGATTAACTGGATAGATAAGAGTCTCACAAACTTTTTTGTCTGGGCTGTCTTTGAACCATGATCCTCAGATCTCAACCTTCTAAGTAGTTAGGATAACAGGTATGAGCCACTGTCCATTGCCTGGCTCTTTTCCTAGTTTTAAATTATATTAATATATTTAATCTGGTTGAAGCCAAATCTTTAGACCTAAGATAAACTTACTGTAATTGTGCTTTAGATGAAATTTTCTTCTGATTAGATCTCCAGGCTTACCACAATTCCTGCATAGAATTTTTATACTGAATTGTAATTATGTGATTAATTTTCTTAACTGCAAATATCAAGTCATATTCATTATCTGTATTTCCCCAAATAATTCATTGCCCAGCATATAATAGAAGTGCTGTGGATATATGTTAAACAACAGTAACAAAAATTAGGGAGTATTAAAGCATTGAAATTATTGTAGGGTTTGCATATATTTGTGAGTGTGTGTGTGTATGTGTGCGCACATGTGCACATGTGCGCGTGTGTACTTAACAGTACTGAGAATTAAGATCAGGGCCTCATACTTTCTAGACAAGAAGAATTGTGATTATGAGTGTAAGCTCTGAAGTCAGAGAGCCTAGATTTAAATCTCAGCTCTACAGCTTAACAGTTAAATGTGAATTTCTGAAGATTCATAGCCTTTCTATTCTTGTTTTTTTCATCTGTAAAATGACAATAACAATGATAACCTATAGCTCTGAAAATGGGGAACATTAAATAATTAATGATATTCTCAGGAATTGGAGAAGATTAAATAAATTATTATATACAACAAACTTAAAATTATTCCTAGAGTTTCATAACTATTAGGTATTTTATAATCATTGTCTCAAATTTCCATAATGTAGTTTTTATTCTAGAAAGTATGATTTAGTTTGAAAAGAGTGGAGTATTACTTTTTGTGAATTGTCATTATTGAATGTTTATCAAAAATCAATTCTTTTTGTTCACAAGAATTTAGTAAAATAGAAACTCCCATGTATTTCTGGTGGGAGTATGTAATGGCACAACTTTCATGGAATGCAATTTGGCAATAATTTTCAAGAGCATTACACAAATTCCTTCTCTTTAGCTCAGTAATTCTCCTTCTAGAAAATTATCAACTTTAAAGACATGGTCAAAAACTTGGATAAAACGTGTGCATGGAGATAGTTTATTATATTCTGACTTATCAAATCCTATGGAAATTACTTAATGACAAGAAATGGAAGAATGACTATACAATTATATCATATTGTATCATTTGAGGGAATAGTACATAGCTTTCATTAGAGTGTTTTTAAAGCTTATTTAACACAGTAGGAAAATACCTCCAAAAATTTTAAGGGGAGAACAATCTATAAAGAATCACTAAGAATCAAAATAATAATCACTGTCAAATAAGGTAGCCATGAAGATATTCATTTCTTTTTCAGAATCCGTATTACTTGAAAGTTCTACAGTGAGCATATATTGTATAACTAAAAAATATGTATAAAATGTATGACTTTTTCTTATCTTTAAAGAAATATTAAACATTAAGACCAATTTTATCATATTCAGGTCTAAAGTTTTTTTACTGAAAATTTCTTTAGTTTTATATCACAAACAAGGCAATAGATGTCTCTAACAAAATTTTTTAATTAAATATGGTCCTGATATTTATTTGCCCTAAGAACTTACTTTGAAAATTTTTGAAGCAAAACCAGTCTTTATTTCTGACCTTCTAGAGAAATTGTTATATGTGCACAACTTCTTTAAATCTGCTCAATTTAATATTTTATAACAGAACTTCAAATATCTATAGAAAATATGCCTTTCCACTAATATTAAGAGGAAATTGTTTTAAATATTTCCAACTTTAAGTGTTTCATGGGTAATAATGGGCTTTCATTTTTCCTTTTATGACCTAGGAGCTGTGAAGGACGAAATATTCGATATAGAACATGCAGCAATGTGGTAAGTATGATGTTCTGTGGTTGTGATTTTTTTTTAAAAATTCAGTTATCAAAAAGTGTTGAATGTTTTTTAAAAAAGTATCTTGAACAGAAAACCAATTAGTATTCTACCAAGAGTTATCTATCTCATACTGTGCTAATTATGAAGTCAGTTTTAATATTCTTCAATGTAAATTTTTAATCACTTGAGCAGATTGAAACTAACTAGACTATTTCAAAACAAGGCTGCTTAATTTCCTGCCTGCTTTCTTCCTTTTCACATATCGGTCCCATGACAATTGAGTAAGAATGATGATAAAAGAGAAACCACTTAGGGTATCACAAAATAAATATTATTAATCAGATTCAGATTTGACAAACTCCTTCATTTGTCCAACAACTACCATTCAATGCCAACTAAGTTTGAGGCAGTACATAAGTACAAGGATAAATAACATGTAGTTGCTGTCCTAAAACATCTGTAATATAAGAAGGGGGGTGTACAGAGGGAAGATAGATGTGCACATAGCCACACTCTGTGGCAAAATATGACAAATGCTGCTAAAAAGGAATAAAGTTGTCTGTGAATTAAAACAAGAGAGAAAATCTGCAGGGAATTAAAGGAGGTAGTGGTACGAGATAGGGATTGTAGGTTAGATTGTAGGCTCATTCTGGGTATGAGGGGTAGCAGTCAAGCCCAGTGGAATACTTTGAAGGCATGAATCATTCAGTTGTGCTATGAAAACTAACTTGGGTAGATTGTGAAAAGCAAGATATTCTAAGTTTACATTGTGAAGAGATGTGATACTAGGCTTCCAAGTTTATAGTAGTTCAGTGAATAATGGGAGTCACGTGAGGTTCTGAAGTGAAAGCATGATATAGAGCTTCATTTTGACATGAGGGTGGAGCTAACACAGGAAATGGATGGAAAGAACTTGGAGCTTTTGTATAGTTGCATCCAGACAGGGAAAAGAAATGGTTTCAGATAAGCCATCAAAGGCACACAAGATGTACAAAAAGAAGTTAAGAAAGTTCTTGAAAGGTGTTCATATGGAATAATGTCAAAAGGATGAAGAAAAAGGAAAGACCAGTGAAAGGATGATTTCTACAATGAATTGGAACCAAAGCACATGGTGGCAGCATCTGGCAAGAGCCTCTGTGGTGCATCAGAACTCAGTAACAAGGCAAATGAGAACGGATGGCAAAGTAAAGTTGGGCCAAACTCACCCTTTTAGTCCAGACCCCTCCTACCAATCCATTCCTTTGATAACACCACTTGTCTTTGCATGAGGAATGACCCTACAGGAGTTAAAATCTTTTTTCTTTTTTTGCAATTTTTTATTGTGATTAAGTGATTACATGACTTTCACAAATATTACAGTATTGTGGGATAGTGATACTTAGTTAAAGTCACAAACACATTCTAACCTTCAGGGGGCAAATTGTCTCTATCGTGGTCTATAAAGTTTATGAGTTCTATGAGCTTTGACAATACAGTTATTTCTTCCACATCGGGTGACATGAACATTCCTTTCATTTGGCTTAGTGTAAGCTGTTTCCTCTTTCCCACTCATTCCCTCCCTCCCATTGCTGCTGTTGAGTTGCTTAGTTTGTTTTAATCAATGTCCAGTACAGCTGATGGGTCTTGCTGTTTTATGTTTTCCCCTGTTTCCCTCTGGTTCTGTGTTCTTCTCTTAGTTTCCCTCCAATTTGCACATATATAGCATATATATGGTAAGCAGCATGGGGTCTTAGTAATGATTTGACCAGATGAGGGGAGGACCTTTGTTTCTTGAGTCTTGTTTATTTGGTCGTATCACCTTATGTTTTGGATTTAACATCCATTTATCAGGGAGACCATGTGCCATTTGTCTCTTTGCTCTTGGCTTATCTCACTCAACATGATTTCTTTTAGTTCCATCCAGTTCCCTGCGAATGCCATTATTTTGTCCTTTCTAATGGCTGCATAATATTCCATTGTGTATAGATACCACAATTTTTTGATCCATTCATCTGTAGTGGGGCATCAGGGTTGTTTCCATATCCTGACTATTGTGAACAGTGCTGCAATAAACATAGATGTGCGTGTAGGACTTAAAATCTTGGTACAAGTCCTACCTATTAATACTGTTATAATTAAATTTTAGCAGAAGTTTTTAAGGGGATGTTCAAACCATAGTACTGTTTTTGTATTGTGTGTGTGTGTGTGTGTGTGTGTGTATGTCTGTGTGTCTGTGTGTGTGTATCAAAAAGACTACATTTGGTCAGTCGTGGAAGAATTGTTTGCTTACTTAGTTACTGGTTTGAAATATAAGACATCTGGGCCTGAGGTGTGGCTCATGGTAGAATGCTCCCTTAGCAAGAGTGAGGCCTGGGTTTCGATTCTAGAATTAAAAAAACAGAATTAAACTTCTGAAAGATGAATTGCTATAACAGGGAAATTAATTACTTTAAGAAGTAAGAGTGCCCCTGGTACTATGCTACAGGTCTCCGAGGAGATAGTAGGTAACAAGACAAGTAATCTTGGTAAAGAAAAAGGTCTTAGAAGGCAGAGGCAAATTAAATATCAAAAGTGAGCACAAAGGCCTGGAATATTCAATGGAGTATTGGGTAGAGATTACCAACAAATAAAAAAATAAATAAACTGTTGGGCAATAAAGGGGAAGGACTAAGATTAGGAAGGTTGGCCTTATGTCTATTGGCCATTCTTATTTCCTCTTCAGAGAAGTCTCTCTTTAAGTCTTTAGCCCATTTGTTAATCGGGCAGTTGTTTCTTTGCGGATTTGTTGTTGGGGGATTTAATGTTTTGAGTTCCAAGTATATTTTAGATATGAGACCCTTGTCCGTTGTATGGCTAGTGAAGATCTTCTTCCAATCCGTGGGCTTTCTATTGATCTTGCTAGCTATGTCCTTTGTCATGCAGAAGCTCTGCAGCTTCATGCAATCCCATTTGTCCAACCCTTCTTTGATTTGTTGTGTTTTTGAGTCTTTTTTTTCCTTTGTTTTTATGTACTTTTTTTTAATTGTTAAAATACCGTACAGAGGGGTTACAATTACATGGGCAAGGTAATGAGTACTTTTCTTATCAAGCATTGTTGCCTCTTCCTTTGTTTCCCCTTCGATCCCTTCCCATCTTCCCCCTCCTCTCGGTTTCTGGATCTTTATTAAGAAAATTTCAGCCTGTGCCAAGGAGACCTAGGGTTTCTCCTATTCCTTCCTGTAATGTTTTTAGTGTGTCTGCTTTGACTCTGAGGTCTTTGATCCCTTTGGAGTTGATTCTGGTGCAGGGTGATTAGCCATAAAAGAAATACAAATCAAAACAACATTGAGATACCACCTCACCCCAGTTAGAATGGCTATAATCAAGAACTCTAATAACAACAGATGCTGGAGGGGATGTGGACAGAAGGGAACCTTACTACATTGTTGGTGGGAGTGTAAACTTGTTCAACCAATTTGAAAAGCAGTATGGAAGTTCTTCAAAAGACTCCACATAGAGCTCCCCTATGACCCAGCAATCCCACTTTTGGGCATTTACACAAATGATCACAAACAAGACCATACTAAAGCTACTAGCACAACTATGTTTATTGCAGCCTTTTTTACCATAGCTAAGATATGGAACCAACCTAGATGCCCCTCAGTAGATGAATGGATCAAGAAAATGTGGTATATATACACAATGGAATTCTATGCCTCCATCAGAAAGAATGGCATTGTCCCATTTGTTAGGAAATGGAAAGACTTGGAAAAAATTATATGAAGTGAAGTAAGCCAGGAGCAAAAAACATAGGTCCTATGGTTTCCCTTATTTGTAATAACTAGTATATGTCTGAGGCAAGCAGAAAAGGTCAGATATGATGATGTTAAGCAAAATGAACCCGAGATAAGGACACAGTGGATTTTTCTTTCTTGCTATAGTTTCTAACATATTTATAAGGTACCACGTGATTTTTTGTTGCTTTGTATGTCCCTCCCCCACGGTATAACCCCTGTTTTCACTGTATTTGATGTTGGTATAATTTGGGGAGTGGAAGGAAAAACAAATTGTTTAAATAGAGATACAGGTGGACCCATTGCAACAATGAGATGTACTGTGGAAATGGGAGGGAAGGGATGGTAGGGGAAAAACAAAGGAGGAGGCAATAATGCTTGATAAGAAATATACTCATTATCTTGCTCATGTGATTGTAACCCCTCTGTACAGTATTTTCACAATAAAAATATTATTTAAAAATGGTTGGTCTTAGAGAAAGGACACAGTCAGCAGTGTTTCAAGTCTGAACAGAAATGCTAAGAAAAGACACAGGAATAGAAAAAATAGACATTAGAATTAGCTGAAGGCCAAAACCTAGACTAATTGGGAAATGATAAATTTCAAAAGAAAACTATGTATATTTCTAATGGCTAACTAGACAAAATGCAAGGAATAGAAGGTGTGACTATTGAGACAGAGGACTAAATATAATTATTCAATAGAAATGTTTGCTTAGTTTATTTCTCCATTTCTATTTAGGACACTAGATGTCTGACAATATTTGTGTCATTCTTCTCTGTCTTTTTTAAATTTAATTTTTATTGTTACTGTAGAGATGATGTATAGAGGTGTTACAGTTACATAAGTCAGATAAAGAGTACATTTCTTTTTGACAATGTTACCCCTAACTTCACTCTCTCCCAGTCTAATTATTTTATTTAACTTCCTCATACTACATCATTTAATTGTTGATTGATTTAGGAAAGCAAATACTGTTTTTAAATTTTATAAGCATATTGACAGAGTTAATTTTAGAAATGCTACAATATTTCTAAAAAGTGTTTTTTGATGGAAATATACTTGAGTTTATTGGTCTTTTTATCCTTTTCATGATATCTTAGATACCAATTTTTAAAAATAAGTTATGATTTTACAGTCTCTCCCTATCTTATAGTCCTTTTTTCTCCCAGGTGTAACCTAGTGGAAAAGATCCAAACTATGCTCTAGATGAAGGCCTAGAGCATTATGAACAGATAGATGTCCAC